CTATGACTACATCTGTCATCATTTCAAAAGCTTTCCTCATTTACAAAGCCTGGGAAATATTACAATATGCAAGCAGAAATTACAGGTGTAGCAAGGTGCTTCTTGATTGTTATTGGGTAATTACTGGACAATTTTCAGAATTTCTATATCCATAAAACCAGTTTTAGATAAAATTCAAGATTAGATTGCTATATGACTTGGCATAGCAGTGAATATAGTAACATAAAAGAGGGGATAGTCTCCAATTTTCATTCCCCACCATAATTCCCACCCCATCCCAGCAAGACCTTTCAAATAAGTTGGTATATTATTTCAAATACACAGCATATTACTTCAGGTTGTAGGAGGGCTCAGAAATGAATAAGTCTAATGGTTTGCAAATTTTCTTTTTGGTAATGAAATTCTCTTTTATTTTTTCCACTAAGAAAATTTATATAGAACTCTAAACATGAGGAGGATTAAAGTGGACCATCTTGGGTTGAAGGGAAGCCCAGGGTGCAGATCAAAGGTGAAGCTTTGTTAACCGTTGCCATTTTGGTTCTACAATAGGGCTTTGTATGTGTATGTGGTATTACAGATTAGTATATATGCATATGTATATGTACACATTCATACATATGTATGTATATATATATTTGCATGTGTATATGTATTTATAAAATATAAATACATATGTGTATATCATTTTCCTGGAAGTGCTCTAACTTGAGTATTTTATTTTCACACTTAAAAGGAAATATTTTTTTTAAATGAAGGAGATTCTGGGTTTGTGAATACATGGAAATTTGGGCAGAATGGTATACCTGGAGAGGGCATTGGAGCTCTGAGCCCTTTTCCCACACCTTGCCCTACGCATGTCTCCCATCTGGCTGTGTCTGAGTTATATCCTTTTATAACATGATAATCTAGGACTTTCTCCAAGGGTTGGGTATTGTAATGAGATGGCCTCTTGCACTGTAGCTTGTTATCCCAAAGCAGAGTATGCTAGATTTCTACACTACAAAGGAAAAAAAAGTTACAGATTTCGATGGCATGTACCATGAAATTGAAGCAGAAACAGATAGAATGAATCTGTTCATTCTATTTCACACCCAGGTGACCAGAATGAATAAAGACATTTCCTCCGTACTCATTAATTTATGGATCTACTCCCCACATGTGTTAAATCTGTTATAAACCTACGTAGAGTTACTAAAGTGCTCACAGGAGATCAGCCACCAGATACTGAGTATCAAATCAGAGAAATAATTGCGCAGTTCATCATGCAGAAGAATGGATTTTTGGCTGTTGCCCTAGCCAATACCAATCTTACAAACTCAGATCACTGAAGCTAGCTAAAGATATTGATCCTCAAGGTCTGAGGACCCCTGGAGTCATCACTAAACTAGATCTTATGGATGAAGAAACAGATGCCAGGCATGTCCTAGAGAACAAGATGCTGCCTCTTCGCAGGGGTTATGTGAGGATGATAAACAGAAGCTAGAAGAACATAAATATGAAGAAGGACCTTAAGGCTGCTACACTGACAGAAAAGAAATTGCTTCTCTCACACCCAGCTTAGAAACATATTGCTGATCTGGTGGGGACCCCATTCCTGCAGAAGTCCCTTAATCAGCAACTTATCAACCACATTTGAGATACTCTGCCAAACTTCAGGAACAAACTATAAGTTTGTTGCTCTTCACAGAACATGAAGTAGAAGCCTACAATAACATTAAGCCAGAAGACTCTACCAGGAAGTCGAAAGCATTGCTACAGGTAGATCGACAATTTGCTGTGGACTTTGAGAAGAGAATCAAAGGGTCAGAGGATCAAGTAGATACCCTGGAACTCTCAAGAGGTGCTAAAATCAATTGTATTTTCTATGAAGGCTTTCCTTCTGAAATAGTAAAGATGGAGTTCAATGAGAAAGAACTGTGAAGAGAAATAACCCATACAATCAAAAACATACACTGTATCACGACAGGGTTTATTCCAGATGTTGCAATCCAAGCAATAGTCAAAAAATGAATTGCAAAGCTGAGAGGGCCTTCTTTGAAGAGTGTAGATTTGGTAACATAAAAATTAATCAACACTGTCAAGAAGTATACCCCCCAAAATGGCAAACTTGCCCAGACCCTGAAAAGAAAGGATCGTTGCTAACCATGTTTGACAGCAAGAAGGCAAGAAAAAACACCAGGTTATTGGTTGACATCCAAGTCTTCTACATCAACACCAAGCAGGAAGATTTCATTAACTTTGCAAATGCTCAGCAGAGGAGAAGTCAAGTTCATGAGAAAAACACAACTAGAAATTATGTGATTTGCAAGGATTAGCTAGCCATCAACATCACTGGCATCATGCAAGGAGGCTCTAAAGGATATTGGTTTGTCCTGGCCACTGAAAGTTTGTCCTCATACAAAGATGACAAGGAAAAAGAAAAGTATATACTTCCCTTGGACAACCTGGAAATTTGGGATGTGGACAAGAGCTTTGTGTCTAACAAATACATCTTTGCATTCTTTAATAAAGAACAAAAAAATGTTTACAAACATTGTTGTTTTCTTGAGCTGGCATGTGATTCACAGGAGGATGTAGGCAGCTGGAAGACTGCTCTAATAAGAACTGAGGTTTCTCCTGATGAATCTTTAACTGCAAATAATGAGAATAACCAAGCAGAAAAGTTTTCCATAAACCCAGAAGTAGAGAGTCAAGTGAAGACCATTCATAACCTAGTAAGCTCCTACATGTCTACCATCTATACATGTGTTGACATCAAATTCCAAAAATGATAATGTACCTTATAATCAATAAGGTTAAAGATTTTGTGACTTCAGAGCTGTTAGCATAGTTATATTCTTTAGAGGACCAAAATACTCTGATGGAGGAATCTGCTGAGCAGGCTCATCACCAAGATGAAATGTTTCAAATGTACCAAACTCTTATAGAAAGCTTTGTGAGCATTGATGACATCAACACTGGCACTACCTTCACCCCTAACTCGGCTTCCTGTGGATAACTCCTAGAAACAGCAGTCCTGCAGTTCGTCCCCTCCAAGACTCACAACCCAAAGGAGGCAGACATTGAATGCTCCTCTCCTGTGGCCCACATGGCCCACAACCAGCCAAAGGTCTGCTCCTGCCATTCTGATCCTGGACTGCAGCCCCACTTGGGAGCTCCCCCAGTTCCATTCCAGCTGGCCCCTTACCTCTTTTTCCCAACAGCAGCAACTCATTGGAGCACCTCTACAAGTTCCCTCTCAGCCCACAAGCACCCGTGCCAGTGTCCTGAATCATTCCCCCGAATTTTGAGGGAGGACAAACCCACAATTCTTATGAGTGTCTCTTTGCATACCTAACACCAAGCTTTGGTGCCATGAATGAAGAAGCTGCCAAGCCTTGAAGACTCGGGCTCAGGAAACACAGATAACTAACTGACTTGTGTGACTAGCCTATGTCTGATTTCTCCACAATCACATACTGGAAACAACCTGACTTACTCCCTCTTCAACAACCCTCTAACAGTTTGATTTTTAGAAACTGAGTGTCATTTGAACAAATGATGAATTTGTGTTGTGATTTCTGATTTCAGCTATGAGCTTTCTATTATCCTCGCCATTCTTCTCCTTTAAAGAACAAATAAATAAATTTATGATTCAGTATTCTGAAAAAAAAAATAGAGAAGTGAGAAGTTGGAATGCTTCCCAAGTGATTGAATGAGGCCAGTATAACTCTTATATCAAAACCTGACAAAGAACTTTTAAAAAATAGAAATCAATCCCTCAAATCTTTAATTTTAGCAAATGGAAAACAGTAATATGTAAAAATTTAAGTCATCATGACCAAGTGAGGCTCATGTCTGGAATGCAAGCATAATTTTACATCTGAAAATAAATTCACATAACTTAACACATTGAAAGAAAAATCACACGATCATCTCAATAGATGCATTAAAAACATTTAGCAAATTTGGGGTGCCTGAGTGGCTCAGTCAGTTATGCATCCAACTCTTGGTTTCAGTTCAGGTCCTGATCTCAGGGTGGCTCACCCTCAGCACGGAGTCTGCTTGTCCCTCTCCCTCCTGCTCTGCCCCTCTCCCATCTGCTCACTTGCTGGCAATCTCTCTTAAATAAATAAATAAATAAATAAATAAATAAATAAATAAATAAAATCTTAAAACATTTATCAAATTTAATACCTATTAATGGAAACACTATCTGCAAACTAGGAATAGAAAGAATTTCCTCAACCAACAGAAGCTGCAAACTAGGAACAGAAAGGACTTCCTCAACCAATAAAAACCAACTATGAAAAGCCTTCAGTTAACATATTTATTTGTGAAATGTTGAGCAATTTCCTCCTAAGATTCAGAGCAAGACAATTATATTCAATATCATCCTGAAAGCCCTAGCCAGTGCACTAATTAAGAAAATTATAAAGATTGGAAAGAAAGAATTAAAACTGTCTCTAGTCGTGGAAGATATGATTGTGTATAAAATCCTAGGAAATGTTAAAAAAATACTAGAATCTATAAGTGAAACTTTTAAGGATATGATTTTTTTAAAAAAGGATATGATTATAAAAGGTCAATGTAAAAATCAAATGTATTTCTATATACTGTCAAAGAAACATTTGGAAAATATTATTTTACATGAAAATTTTCTAAAATAACTCAGGAATAAATTGAAGAAAGATTTGTAAGATATCTACATTGAAAAAGTAAAATACTACTTGTCAATTTAGAAATTGACAAGATATCCCAACATTCTGATGGAAAAGATCGAGAGTAGTAGGAACAATTTTGAAGAAAGGACAAAGCTGAAGTCAATGAAGTATCTATGGAACAGAAGAGATGATCAGAAATAGTCATATTATGGTCAACTGATCTTAGACTCAAGCATCACTGTAATCCAGTGAGAAAGGATGGGCTTTTCAACAAATGATGCCAGAAGAACTGATTATCTGCACAGGGGAAAAAAATGAGTTTTGACCTTATTCTCTCAGAATAAAGACAAAACATACCTGTTGTGTCACTCCTGTTGCCAAATTGCCCCCAGAACTGTCTCCTGAAATACAGATTCAGGTAGGATCTACTCCGTATTTTGTAAGAATTTCATCTTGAAGAAAAAACTTAACCGCAGTGAGGCAATCTTCATATGGAATTGGAAAGTGGTGTTGAGGAGCTAGTCTATAGCTTTAAAAAAGAACAATTCATTTAAACAATTTTTTAAAGTACTGTTTATGGTTGTATCTTTCCACGTAGCTTTTAAATTCCAAATAGATACAATTTAACACCAGTCTCTACTGTTTAATCTTCCAAAAATCAAACTTGAGTTTTTCCACTAACTCCTTATTATTTGAAAAAAAAGAAAATTGGTATAAAGGTTTTTAACCTTGTATCTAAGTTCCCTGGATAGCATTGTGTGTGAGGAGTAGGGGATATTATGAACTCCCTAAGACTGTAAGCATAATTTTTAGGTAAAGCACATTTTGGATTGGATATACTCTACAGCTTATATCATCTTCTCAATGTAACTGATGATCCAAACATTAAATATGTATATATGAAAAGCACCATGGATTTTTGAAGGCAGCAGATCTAAGAGAATATTATAGGCAAAGTATTATATTTTTCAAGGTCATTTAGAAAAAAATTCTACATGCTTGCAATGTACATATCTCACCATGGATAATCCCCAGGAGTTGATTTTAGATGAAAATTTTGAAGTATAAATAACATTTTAAATATGGTAGGGAGGTCGATTGTTTCTGATAAATTCATTTATAAGGTAAACTATCACACCACACTTTTAATGGATATAAATGGACTTTTCTCCCTATACATGTGGAACAATAAAAATAGAATATTTCTATTAGCCTGATATCTATCAGGGCTAACTTTTTCTTTTAGCTCTTTAGAATAATAAAATTTGTAAATATATGTACTTCACATTAAATGCTGGTGATATAATACTTAAAATTTTATCATAAATTATTATTTAGAAAGTCCTAAACGAAGTATAGGCTAAACTCACCCCAAAGATGTTGGTGTCTATTACTTTAAATGCAGTAGATTTAGACTTTTTAGGGCAAAGAACCACACAAATCATAAGGATTTGATAGGATATATAAGCCAGACACAAACATATCACTATATTAAAACAGATTTAAAATGAGAAGGTTTAGATTACTTCAAAAAGCTATGAAGGTAAGGGGTGTTTGGGTGGCTTAGTTAGTTAAGTGTCTGACTTCAGCTCAGGTCATGATCTCAGGGTCCTGGGATTGAGCCCAACTTCAGGCTCCCTGCTCAGTGCAGAGTCTGCCTCTGTCTTTCCCCCTGCTCATGCTCTCTTTATTTCTCTCTCTCTCAAATAAATAAATAAAATCTTAAAAAAAAGCTATAAAGGTTAAAAAAAAAGTAATGTCCTCATATTATAAATTAGAAGTATCCTTGAAAATAGGAAGTTCTAGTTACTGTAAGTAACCATAATGACAACATTGTCAATCACTCTTTAGATGATCAAATTGTCACTTTAGTTGTCTCTCTAAATTTTCATAGCTTCCTCGCTAACAAACAAACAAACAAACAAAAAACCTATGTCACTATGTCCTCTAAGAACTATTGGATTAGAAGTCTCTAAGTATGTTTTTGTTACTATGGACTAGGGAAGAGAGGTCAAAAAAATTCCTCTTAGGAATCAGCTTCAGAAATATAGACTGTATCCATCTAAGAAAATATTGAACTGTCCTGAGACATTCTGATATTTTCTAGCAAAATCCAGAATATAAGATCACTTTTCCTGAGAGTGACTTAAAATTCTTAGCTGATCCGAACCCTTATCTCCTACATTACTCTAAACAAGAATTATTATAAAATAAAATATTTTATCCCCAACCCAAACACCACCTACCAACCCAAATGTGTAATAATTTATTTTTTCCTACCTAGCTATGTTATCTGGGGCACAAGTTGGGACCTAAGTTTTATGTGTCTAGAGCAAGTGTTTCCAAAGTGCTCACTCAAGGATGTCATTCAGAGACTCACAGAATCACAGAAGAATATGAGATAGTGGAGTCTTTTGAGGAATGGTCTATGTTGCAATGGTGACAAATAAAATAGAGTGATTTTTAAAGAATTATATCTGAGGCATAGTTGACTTGATTTGGAAATCAAACGTCTACTTGGTGAAGGCAAAATCATAGTAACAAAAGAAAATCATCTCTTACTCCACTCCTACAACAACAACATCGACTTTCTTTGCAGTCCATCTATTCAGGGCATCAAAAGCCATATTCTCTGAAATGAAGAAATAAATGTCAAAGTACTCTCTGTAATTAAACAGCAACAGAAATGCTTACAGCTATGAACTTGGAGAGAAATGTGATTTGTGAGTGTTATAAAGGAACCCATATTTCCCATTCCATTTTTATGCAGAGGGACCAGAATCGGGGACACTCTACAGGAGTGTCTCCTCAGTCACTGTCTCCAGGTATGAAAAGAGGACTTTGCAGATTGGTGGTTTTGAGGAAGAGAAACTAGGCTCAGCCCATTCTATTTTTCTCTTTCATCTGCTGCCTGTCCACAAGGATCCCACGAACCTTCTGTGGCTTGTTGAATTTTACTCTGCTTGTTCCTTCAGGCAGCAAGTTTCATAGGGAGGCAGTGTGTGATTTGTCAGCAGGGCCAGCCACTACAGATGAGTTAATCTAACTCAAGAGTGTCATAACAATACCCTAAATACACATTCTCCAAAGTCTTCTTTGGAAATAATGGTTATATTTTGACTGTCACTTACTTGAATTTTGTGTATAATCTTTAACTGGTTCAGAATTCAGGGGAGAAAGTAATAGATGTACTGACTCTCTGAAACCACAGCACTCGATAATATGGTTCTTTGAACTTCCAAATTCTTTGAATATGCCACATTATAAAATGATGCAATAACCTCGGTATTTAAGACAGAGTCTAAGGAAAAGCAACTAGTTTTGAGAGAGCCTCTGGCAAATCAGTATGCGGACTTAGATGTACATATCCATTTTGGCACACATGGCACACAAGCCATCGTCCCTCTTCCTAGTATACACACATATCTCATCCCAGGTACCTCCAAATCCAGTTTACCAATGCCCTAGCCACAAACCTTTGGAAACTCTGTGACATCTGCTATTACTTTATTTACCACAGGATCCTAGATATTCAGAGAATTCTAGAGCCGTGATCAAATTCCAAACTTTTCCAAGATGTCCCCTGCACGTTAACAAAACTTCAAATTAAAAACTAATGATTATGTTAATCTCCATACATTACATTAGTTTTTGATGTAGTGTTCCACGATTCATTGTTTACGTATATCACCCATAACATAATAAAAAAATAAAAATAAAATAATAAAAACTAATGAAATGCTGGGTGAGTGACTACCATGAAAATAGAAAAGTCAGGTAGTATTTTAGGTAGAAAAATAATGTTTTCATTAAAGATTGAGTTGATAATTTGCAAGACAAGACAATGGGTAGATAAACACCAAAATGTACAAGACATAAGAACCCTCTAACCCTCACGCTGAAAGCCCCTCAGTGATATGTTTCAAACTTGTCTTCATTTTTATTTCCCAATACTTTCCACCTGTCTCACAACAAAAGTCAGTTTAAGTTTTCTGTTTCCCATTCTTTTTCTCCAGCTGTCCTAACTCATGATCTTTGCTGATATAATCTTTTGGCTAATGTTTTTCTATATGTCCAATTACTGAATTTATATCACTTGAAGAACCCAGATAGAAACAAGAAGATATTAGGTTAGATGTCAAAAAACAACCACCACAGTTCTATGTAAAAAAGTCTACTAGAGAAATATCTTCTTATATTTCTTAGTTCTCAAAGCAACTTCAGCAAGTTTAAAGGAGAAAAAAAAATAGGAAGCCTAGGAAACAAAGAAAGGAAATTGAAATTAATAAATACCAGAGAATAGTTATAGTGTCTATGTCGTGCTTTGTCAAAAAATAGAAGATATCTAAGTCTTAGATATCTTAGATAAGATATCTAAGTTTATTTATATAAGTTCTGACAGATCTATGAATAATGTCCAAATATAAAGTCAAGACACAGAAAGAAGACACAACTGAAATTCAGCTGAACAAGAAATTGGAATGTGTGTCCTGAATAATTGTGTCCTGAATAATTTGCACATTTTTAGGAATTACTGATCATAATCATTGCATTTGTCAATGAAGGGGAAATCAATCTGATAATCAGGAACACTTCTAATTTATTTTTCGAACAAAGTGATATTTTCCCATCTGTGAGCATGTCTCTTGCGCTAACTGAAGTCCCAGGTAATATGTATATGGATACTTGGATATTTCATAGACCTTATAAAAACCTTAATGGCATTAATACATCTCTTTAGAGACAAATGAGGCCAAATTGGTATTTAATTTATCTTATATATCTTATCTTATAATGTATTTTATAAAGGAAGTAAAGAATTCCAACCACCCTAATGTCTGATATAAATTAAATTATAGGTGAAATCTAATTTACTGAAAAGATTAAGGAGGTAAAAAAGACATAAAAGTACTGGGAAAATATTTTGACTAATAATCCCTCCAGAGAACAATAGAATTTCCTTTCAGTCATTCATTTTGTTTTCTCAGAAGACATTTATTTGTTGAACACTCATTGTATAGAAAATGCTTTGGTAGATGCTAAGAGGTGATTCCCCTTCCTGGAGAGATGCTAAACCAAACATGTAACACAATTATAAAACAATACAAGGATTGTTGCCATCAGGTAAATACAAGTTGCAATGAACCATATAGCAACATTGCTAAAGTCTTTTAAAGCCAGAGAAGACTACACACACACCCTCACCCACAAAATGATGCTTTTCATGAACATAAGACTGTGAGCAGGAGTTTTCTTGAAGTAAGGTGGGAAGGACATTCTAGAAAAGCATACCCAGGTATAGAAATAAGAATTCACAGAGGGTTTGGGAACTAAATATTACAGCTCAGTATGCTTGAAACAATATTATGAAGAGAAGCATTGGCAAGAAAAGTTAAAAATGTAAGAACCTGGAAATCTGAACACCATGCTAATGGATTTAGATTTATTTTATTATGTGATGAAAGTCACTGAAAAGTTTAAACAAAGAAATCATATAACCAGATTTGCATGTAGAAAGATCCAGTACACTAAGTGTAGAAGATGAAATAGAGTTGAATAGGACACAGGCAGAGACATCAGAAAGGAACATCTTTAAAAGATCATGAAGTACTAAATTGTGTTAATGAAGTCAAAATGTTCAGAAGTAGAATGAATGGGATATGGTAATTTGATGTGAGCACTAAGGAACTACAAATAATTGACCATAATTGCTATTTACTGAGAGATTTCAGGTGTTGGTTTAGATGGGTGGTGGGTTTTTTTGTTTGTTGTCTGAGGCCATTTGGACACAAGACAATAAATTGTGTTTGGTCCTACTGAACTTGAGATGTGTGTAGTTTGTCCAGTTATAAATGTCTAAGTGATAGCTGTATATATGGATCCAGGACTCAGGAATACTAACAGGGAAGCACATTCAGGACTGGATGTCAGCAGCATGTGGGTATTTGGAGAAGAGAAAAGATTGGAAAAGAGTGTGTAAAGTCAAAACCCAAAGGTAGGGAGAGAATTCTAGGGGGCAGGAATATTTATAGGGAAAAATGAAAAGGGGGAAATTGGAAGAGGAGACAATCATGAGAGACGATGGACTCTGAGAAACAAACTGAGGGTTCTAGAGGGGAGGGGGTGGGGGGATGGGCTAGCCGGGGGATGGGTATTAAAGAGGGCACGTTCTGCATGGGCACTGGGTGTTATACGCAAACAATGAATCATGGAACACTACATCAAAAACTAATGATGTCATGTATGGTGATTAACATAACATAATATAAAATTTTAAAAAAAGAATAAATATGGAAAATCTGTTATTTTCTTTGGTTTGTTTTTAATTATTTTATTTATTTGTTTGTTTATTTGAGAGAGAGAGAGAGCATAAGCGAGGGGAGGGGAGGGACAAGCAGACTCCAAGATTAGCAAGGGGTCCAACGTGGGGCTTGATCTCATGACCCTGAGATCATGACCTAAGCCAAAACTAAGAGTCGCGGCTTAACCAACTGAGCCATGCAGGTGGCCCTGTTTTGTTTCTAAATGAGAGATGAGAGAGATGAGAAAACAAGGAATGACAGGAAACCTAGGAGATACTTTGTCATAGAAACAGGGAGGAGCAGTGCATGTCAAAGAGGAGAAAAGACTAGTCTTCATCAAATGCAGTAGATTGTAGAGATCAAAGAATTAATTAAAGGCGGGAAAAGAAAGGAGTAGGGAAGGACTAGAGCTTGTAAGGCAAAGAAATGGGTCTGAGAAAGAAGGGGAAGTGAAAGGGACTGATTACGCAGAGGAATTCACGGTCACGTGGAAAAAAAAATATTTTAAGATAAGAATGACCATAGGGCACCTGGTTGTCCCAAAGTTAGGGAGAAGATAACTAGAAAGGCAAAATTGCAGCCTAACCATTTTAGCATTTTGTATATCAATCTGAGTTTTTGTGTCTCATTAATTTTCCATGCTAATTTTCTCTATGACTAGTGCTCAGAACTTATATTTGGTTAATTGTAGCTTGCTGTATTGCACATATCTTTATAAGGTTCTCAAACTGTTTAGAACAAAATGAGGCTTAGAGAAAGGCCAAAGGTAAAAAAAAAAAATCATTTATTACCTGTTTATCTTTCCTCAGTTCTATTCATTTCTTTAACTAAATAGAACAGTGCCTCCTCCTTATATACCAGCACCACTGGATCATCAAGTTTTTCAAAGTTCTCATAAAGGGAAATGTATTCATGTTTTTGTTTTGAATCTGTTATGTATGCCTCTTAGAATCACTGCCAGAGATAAATAGGGAAACTAGACCTCATAGGAAGAGTTTATTTTTTTTAAGATTTTATTTACTTACTGGACAGAGAGAGAGAGAGCACAAGCAGGGGGAGCAATTGGTAAGCAGAAAGTACCCTGGGATCATGACCTGAGTCCAAAACAGATGCTTAAACAACTGAGCCACGCAGCCTCCCCAAATAAGAAGACTTTATTATAAAATAGGTCTATTTTGTGTTTTCCTTTCAGAATCAAGACTAGCTACCATTCTAAGCTTTATCACTGTTAGTATTATTGTTATCAGTAACTACAAACTTGACCTTGTAGCCTCCAACAACGTAGGACTCTGATTTACCATTTAAAACATCTGCCTCACTTCAATGCTTCTGCTCCTGAATATATTCTGATCCCAAAGAAAACAATTTATACTAATTGATTCATTCATACCCTACTTTCATTTGATATGAGTTCATGCAGTATAAAAGCTGAGAAAAAAATTCTTAGCAAAACCAAACCAAACAAAAACAGAAATAATGATCTCCATGATATTTTTTTACCAAACATGCCTGTGTCTATCTCTCTACTAGTTATCTAATATTTACAGCTACACTTATACTTATTATTCATATAAGTATGCATATTTATATTAAAAAGTTCTTATATCAAAAATATACAGCCAGTTATAGTTTTTCCTTATATGGTGAACTTAACTGAGACTTCCAAAACAAAGGTACCACCGTGAATATAGATTACAGCTCGTCTTGAGGTTTCTTTCTCTTTGGCAAGTACAAACGTACTGGAAGATCAACAAATTCTGTATCCATCACTGTGACATACTCATCGGAAACAGGTTGGGTATGGTCCAGCCTCAATATCATGGAAATAAGCTCTTCATATTTCATAATACCTATACTGTCAAAACACATAGCCTGTAAAAGCAAACAAAATTGAACATTTTCATCTTTAACATCAAATGCATAGAAAGAGAAAATTAAAAAAGAAAACATAAGCAAAATAAACAGAAATAGAATGTTTGTAACAATTATTTCCAAATAATACTGCATAGATTTTAGTCTATAAGCTTGTTGAAAATCTTAAGTATTGTGTATTTCAGATTAGTAACTGTGTCATTCAACAGCCGTCAGTTTACCAGCAGCTTTTTTTAATGTCCATCATAATTATTTTTTTTAAAGATTTTATTTATTTATTTGACAGAGAGAGAGACACAGCGAGAAAGGCAACACAAGCAGGGGGAGTGGGAGAGGGAGAAGCCCGTCTCCCGCGGAGCAGGGAGCCCAATGCGGGACTCGATCCCAGGACCCTGGGACCATGACCTGAGCCGCAGGCAGACACTTAACGACTGAGCCACCCAGGTGCCCCCGTCATAATTATTTCTTAATTGTAAATTCTTATCTGAAAAACGTCCAGCTCTTGTACCACCTTTTCTTTTTGTTTTGTAGGCATGCTGTCACCTTTTTCTTCTTTATGGTTCACTTTATTTAATCCAAAATTTTAAATGGTGTCTTATGACCACACTATTAGTTATTTAAATGCCCTGGTTTTCAACTCCAAATAGATTTATTTCCTTCGCCCCCCAACCCTGTCCCCGAAATCCCATATTTGATATCACTGAAGAAAGCTCTCCCTGGTATTTCTGACAACTTTTCTAGGATCGTTGTGACATTTCACTGGACAGTTTGCTCAAAAGAAGAACCTTAAAAATTACATGGTCAATAAATAGTACATTAAACAACCTTTATTCCTACAATTATTTCCAAGAGTCTGAGGTATTACAGGGTCTTAAAGAACGTCTAATACCTATACTTTAACAATGGGGAAGCATGCAGAAGCTCTTAAATTGCAACCAGGAAATGTCAAAGCCAAATCTGCACCCATTTTTCTAGACCAGTCTCCTAGACTATCACTTACTGCCTATATGCCTGGAAGCAAATTACTCTCTACTTCAATCTTTTAAATCTTAATAATAATAATAACAAATCCCTCAGTGGGTTGTTGTAGGATTCAAGTGAGTTAGGACTTTTAATGTACATAGAAGAGCGCCTAGCGCATGTATGTATTCAATAAAGCTTGTCTTATATCAGTATACTTCACTAATAAAGATTCTTAAATAATTTCATGCTAATTGAATATAATCAGGTAGAGTATCCCTTAAAGCAAGTTTTTGGTAAATGGGTAAATTACACTAATTTTTCATTTAGTGAATTGAATTTTAAAAGATTTTTGGCAAATTGCCTTGTTTCTCATTTCTCAGATATTTTCTGTTTCAGAGCAGATACTTAAGTATATTTTGAACAATAACAAAAGCACCACTTTAGAGATTATTCTAGCATATGTGATCTGTAATTCACAGAGCAATCCTGAAAAGTATTTATGATTAGTATCCCCATTTTCTAAGTATAAAAAAAGGTACAATGAAGGGCTAAGGAAATATTTCAAGGTTGGACATGCTCTTCTACTAAACTCAGCCTTCCAGTTTAACATATGATAGACATAACAAAGCATTTTATTTATCAAGTTTACTTTCTCAAGAACTTTGATTTTCACCTCCCTCTCACATGTTAGAGAAGTAATTTTTCTTCCTGGTATCTCAGCTTTGATTTACAAAATTCAGTATTGAGAAGAATAAAACTGTTTTCTTTAGAACAGCCAATGACTGTTAATTTTACTAGCATAATCTTTAAAGTAAATACATGGATGCTTTTCTTATTATCTTTTGAAAAATAAAGAACAATCCATATACAATATCAAATCTATAAAGGGCGTAATTTTATTATAGATGGGCAGTGGTGAGAATAACTTGTAGCTGAAAAAGGAAAAGCCTTTATGGAGCTGGTACTTGCTTCCCCACACCCGCTTTCATGTTATGTTAACTCAAGGGGGAAGAGCGTTGCAGGAAGAGATAGTTACTGCGAAGGTGTGCCTCTAGAAGTAATCAGAGAGATAAATGTCAGGACTTAGCAGACACAGACAGGAGTTGGCTGTGTTTTCACAGAACTGCTGTTTGCTGTACAATGTACCAGGGCACAGCCTGTCCCTCTGAAGCCATAGATTGCTCTCTCTTCTCTAATCATTCCCTGCTGCCATTGTATCCTTTCAGCTTCATATCGCTTCTGTCATCAAAGAACGTTTCTGGGAGCCTGTGTTTGGCAGAAAGAGTATGAATTTTGAAATGAGGTATCTGTGGATTCAAATTCTGAATCACTTTTTAGCTGCATGAGTCCCTCTGAACTTCTTTTTCCTCCTCTATAAAGTGATACAAATAATCGAAAGGTAGTGGGGATGCACAGAGGTATATATTATAGAAAGCCCATGTATTCTAAAAGCTCAAAAAGTGCTAGTTTCTAACCATATCTCCCCCTTACCAAGGAGCTATTTTTGCTTGAATTCATATTTCAAGTCAGACAATCTCTGAAACCTAGCAATTTAGAATTAAAGATAAACAGTGGAAACCATTGAGATGGTGAGAGTCCTAAATTAACATCAAGTAGGTACAAACACCAATAATGTTTATCTGTATAATATATATAAGTAAAACCTAACTGAAAACTCAAATGTGTCAAATATAACTCAAATGTAAGTGATCAAGAAAACTTCAAAACTTTTCCCTTCAGCAATACCACTTAATGCATGTCACAATAGACACAATCTTTACATTTAGATATAAACCCCTGGGAAGCAAGAATTCTACCTCACTCTGTCTGCAGATGCACGAAGTTTTATTTCCTTACTTTTATGTAACTGCTTTATTCTAACAAACAAAGAAGCAATGGTTATTTCAAAAACAGTAACTACCAAAAAGTTCATAAGCACTGATTTTTAGTCAACAAGGCACTCCAATATCCAGAAGAAAAAAATGTTAATCTTACTATAAATGGGCAAGTTTTAGCAAATGTATCTAACGTGCCACTTCCCAGTATTCTTCAATGTCGCCCGGTACGGTAATAGACATACAAGAGGCAGAGAGAGCACAAAACAGCCCCAAACAGAGAGCTTTGAACCCCATGATATCCCTTTCTCCGGCCTCTTCACAGTGCTGACATTAAAGTGTTTCCACAAATACTAACTAATAAGTAGCAGAACAACTGTAGATTGGGAACGCTTTGGGGTAATATATGATTATCTTAGCAACGTGAAGCTAATTTTTGATTCAAAATTATTGCATCAAAAAAAAAGTTATTGCATCAGTAGTGACTCATTTTTGAAATACACAGCTTCTGAGACAGATATTATAACACAACAGTTCATGCTTATACTATAATAAGACAGTTAACAACTCCCACAGTGTTTCTTCACCCTGTCATACTGTTGTCATGTTAAAGCAACTTAGGTGTGAAAGCGGAGCCTACATGAGAGCTCTTAAGATACCACAAAGTAAAATTTTGTGATTGGTTTGTTGCAGGCTTTTGTAGGAAAATGATTTAGAAAAAATTAGCTGATACTTAGTCAAAATGCAGGCTCATGCAGCTTGCATGGATTACTATGTCAATAAACCCTGCTTGTTGTGGTGGACCAAACTTTGGGCCAAAAGATAAGGGGTATGGAGACTTGTCCATATGCCATTTTTCATCAAGCTAGAACTATAATAGTCTGAAGTACCACCAGGCTCAGTATAAGCATCTCAGGAAACACTGTTTTTTAAATGATTACACAGTGACTTTGTTCTTACAGGTTAAATGGTAAATCTTTAAAACCAATCTATACCAAGTAGCCTAGTGTGGCAATATCAAGTGCAAATATTGGACTTCCACTTGCTGCACCCTGAGAGAGACCCTGTCCATAAAGCTGATCATTTCTATGTTCTTTAGAGATGCAAGGAACTGGAGATTTTCTGTCTGATATGTCAGGACCTAGGAAATAAAAAAATAGTCACAAATCAATAAACCTGTGATTCTCAAGCTCATTACCAGAGACTGGTACTTAAAGAAAGTAATTTTTAGTGATAGAATTCAATACAATCAGGGGTCTAATATAAGTCTATATTGGGCCTCTTGAAAACATAAGTATTAACTCCAAAGTCTATCCTAAATTTCATTATTAAAATTTTTATTTGTATTCACTTACATTGCAGTCTTCCCTGAATCCCCCAGGGCATAACTTAGTAATATCATTTGTTATTCAAACTACAACACTATTGCAATGAAAGCGACACTATTAATAATGCCCATAAACTGGAATTGTCCTGAACAAACTGATACTAACAGACTTACCCTAATCATATAACTCTTTTATCAAATTTAATTTGTGTGCCTGCCTTTCTCAGTGGACTGTAAGACATCATACATTTTTTTTGTCTTTGCAACCTCTAAGAAATCAATGCTTTGCAGGTAAAGGTGCTAAATACATATTTTGAATAAATTAATGGATAACCAAGTTAATTAATTAATGCTTAAAGATATTAATAAGGGGGAAATCTCAAATCCACCATGAAGTTTGAAAACTAAAATCAGGAGTGGTCCCTGATGACAAAGACTGAGAGAAAAATAGAGTTAAGATAAAGATAAGCAGAAGTATCTTATGTATTTGGAAATATAAGCCGAGGTATCTGGCATAATGACTCAATTTCTCTAATCAGATCATAGCAGTTTGCCTAAGCCGTGGTAAGCAATCACGAAATATTACCTGTTGTTGTTGTCATTATTACTAACTGCATTATTTTCAACATTATTGCTGGGATCAAAGAAAAGAGACAACTTAAGAGTATGGAATCCTTCAAGAAGATCCAGGTCTATGTAATGAGGTTACAGGGGGGGACGTTAGACCTCTGACTGGAGTCAAAGTTTAAAACATCTGAAGAGCTAGAGAGAAGGGTACAGATAAAGAGAAAATAGCCCCAAAATTTGTCTCACTTTGCAGTTCCTTAGGTTCAGCCCTAGGTTTCTGAAGATCTCCAACTTTCACAATTTTCCAGGTCCCTTGGGTCACCATGGGTAAGCATAGAAGGAGAACCGATCAGATGTATGACATGACCTGGAATAAAACTGAGACCATCTTTTCCCAGACTCAATGACTGTGGGTCTTTTCTTACTTTACAGAGCTGTCAACACCATTGCTTTATGTCTCTTTAAACTTTACCTTGTTTTACTCACTAAATGAAAGAAAGGTAAGGCTTTTGTGCACACCATAGTGTTTAGTTTGGCAGTTTTTGGCCTTTTGCTTGTGAGATTATAAAACACCGTGCATTCAGTTCAGAGCAAAGTTTACTTGTTTTATTTTCCCCACAGGTTTCTACCACACGATATCATTATCAGTCAACTAATATTTGTGGAGTCTTGGATGCCCCTTCCCACACCACACTTCTTTCCATTTCAGACAATCTCAAACATCTTTATATTTTTCCCATTCCCTCCAAGATAAAAATCCAAATTTCTCAGTAGTGCACTATATGTTTCCAGTCATCTTCAGAGTCTCTCCTTTGACCCTACAAGCCAGGCCAACTTCAACTGCTGGAAGTTACCCTATAGCAAAAAGCCATTAAGCCCTCTGGAGATTTCATCATATCTCTTTTCCTAGAATCAGATCAGCCCCTCAAGTCTTTCTGATCCTACCGGCTTATCAAACACTTTTCCTGCTTTTAATTTCCAGCTAAATCACTACGGTGTTGCTTTTTGTGATCTCTGACATAGAAGGTTGATCAATTTCCCTTTCTTTACACCCTCCTAAAGAGGTATAGTCTTGTGCCATCATCCCAGTAAGACCAAACTGAATTTACATAGTGGGTATGAATCTTGATCTCTTAATGGTATGTGCATACAAATATTTCTTTAAATCCTATAATGGACTGAATGTGTTTTCCCAAAATTCATAGGTTGAAAACTTAATGATCAAAGTGACTGTGTTAGAAAGTGAGTTCTGGGGAAGGGATTAGGACATGAGAGCAGAGACCTCATGAGTGGGATGGTGCCCTTGTAAGAGAAACCTCAGACAGCTCCTTTGCCCCTTTTGCCAGGTGAGGACACAGCAAGGAGATGGCTGTCTATGAACCAGGAAGAAGGCCTTCACCAAACAGTAAATCTGCTGAACCTTGATCTTAGACTTTCCTGACTCCAGAATGTTTGTTGTTTAAACTATTCAGTCTATAGTTTGTTTTTTTACAGCAGACTAAGACAAACCCCAAACAACATTAACATTAATGCATTATGCCAGTTAGGCATTACCAATAAAACACAAATAAATCAGTGACAAGACAAGGATCCTACTTTCACTGCTAGTACCTAACACTATACTGGAAGTTCTAGGTAGCACGAAAATAAAAGTCAACCAGATTAGAAAGGAAGAGGTAAAACATCTTGATTTGCAATTGACATGATCTGATGTATAGAAAACCCAATAAACCCATAAGAAAGATACCAGAGCTAATAAAATAATTCAGCAAAGTTGCAGAGTACAAGACCAATATTTAAAATAAAGTTGTGTTTCTGTTCACTACCAATTATAATCTGTAAAGGAAGTTAAGAAAGTAATTCCATTTACAATAGCAACTAAAAGACTTATACACTTAGAAAAAAATGGTAAAGAAGAAATGTATCAAGGTCTAAGGCTCATATAAAGTAACTATACAACACAGACAAGGAAACTAAAATAGAAGAAATGGAAAAAATAAACAAAAGCCATTGATATAAAAAAATGCAATGTGGAAAGGAATAAAATTTTAAACAAAAAGAAAAGAAGAGATGAATGGAATTCAAGAGAAAGTGACAAATATTAAAGATAGGCAAAGAAAAGACAAATCTGGACAATTGCCATCATTTAAAAAAATTAAAAGAAGGTAACAAAAAATGTTAAAAACTATAATCAAGGAAACTTTCCTAAGGAAAAAATTGAAAATACATAATGAAAGACTGCTCTGTGTACCTGAAAATATTGAACCAGAATAGCCAACAGCAAGAGATAGTCTTGTAAATTACTATACTGTAAAGAACAAAGGGAAAGAAATTATTTATATGTTCAGGCAAAAAGGTCATTTGGCTTGTGAGGGAAATAATTAGATTATTATCAGAATTTAATGGTCATTCTTTATGTCAAAAGAAAATATAAATATATAACACACTTAATGAAAGTAATGTGAGTAAATAATTTAATATCCAGAATTTTTCAACATATAACAACATATAACAACTCAGAGTGCTTACTAAGGAATCTTGTAGGGAATGAGCTTCACAGAACCAAAATTAATAGTGAGACAACATAAATACTGGTTAACATTATGAAATATATTGTTATTATAGAATTAATGTTTTAAGATTTTATTTATTTATTTGACAGAGACACAGCGAGAGAGGGAACACAAGCAGGGGGAGTGGGAGAGGGAGAAGCAGGCTTCCCGTGGAGCGGGGAGCCCGATGTGGGGCTCGATCCCAGGACCCCAGGATCATGACCTGAGTCGAAGGCAGATGCTTAATGGCTGAGGCACCCAGGTGCCCTATTATAGAATTAATGTTCAGTGATGGTTAAAAAGGGGAGGGTTCAGCTGGTAAGGGCATTGCTATCTAACAGTGTAGACAAAGGGCAACCAGATAAAATAAGGAAGAAAAGAAAGAGCAAAAAGAAAAAAGTAACTGTTTTTAGTAATCAAAATTAGCGGTGATGGTGTTCGTATTGTTATTCTAAGACTGCTCAATTTGTAAGGTGAGTAAAAACAAAGACGAAATTGTAGGATGTTTTTATTCTCTCATATAATGTTTCCCCAAATGCCTAGATTCTTGGATTGTCAGTGTAGAAAAAAAGAGATGAGATATAAAAGAGATTAAGTAAAAACCCTGTGGTTTTGAATTTGAGCTGCGAATATCAGAATGAAAATATTATCAAAATATCAAGAGTTAGTTTTTCTTTAAAAGTGGGTATTTGTATAAAATTCCTGGTTTTGTCCACTGAAGAAAACTTAATGCTCAAATTATGGTATTGAAATATCACCACCATTAAAAATAAATCAGATATTTAATCAGATAAATCAGATAAAATAAAAAGGAAAACCAGGGAAAAATGACTAATCGCAGACTTTTTTCA